AAAATGAAACCATAAGAACTTTCAATTTCAAATGTATGCTACCTAGAAAGCAAGGCAGATTGACTCCCTCTATTCATTCATATATCCATGAGGGAAATTTAACTAGACTGAAACATCTGCTTCTATTCCAGTCTCTGATAGATATTTTGAAAGTTGTAGGCTGGTGTGGGCCAAGAAACAGAAAAACTAGACCCCATTTTATGCAGATTTTTCCAACATCTACGAAATTGCTGGGTTTTTAAACCTATTTATTCAAATCGGATCCACTAAACCCAAATAGATATTTGGAAATATAAGCTTATTATATATTTTTGTTGTTCAGTGCTACCATCATGAACCCAACCCCGTCCCCAGGAATTAATTGGAGCTGGGGCTCACATTTTGTATTAATAAAAGGCTCAGAGAACTCATTTCTGACAATTTTGAGCTGCCAATTATACAAGAACACTGTCTGCTTAAGAGAAGAAGGTTTTGCTGGGGCTTAATTCTCACTTACTGGAGCCAAACCCCACTCTAACGACGGGCTGCATGAACCCCCTATTCCATTACGTCACGTCACGTCTGCAGTTCACTTGGTTTTTTTTTTACCGTACTGATCCCTTGTTGGCTTCTTAAAACTGTGTGCAGAGCCAAAAGTTCAAAATCACCAGATAGGCCTAGGGCCTACTAACAAAACTAAAGTTACAATGATGCAAACACTAATTTACATTATTTTACAGTCATGAGTCATCGTACTATTGAAGGGTTTTTGGGTCTAAATAAGATGATATGCTAGTATTTGTCTCATCCATTGTTGAAATGTTCAGAATGTCAAAATACTTATTATGATACCGTCAACTTTGTCATATTGCTTAAGTAAATTTAAATAGAACAGATGTGTTTTGTCATTTCCTCACTAATTAGCCTACAGCCTGAACCCCCTATTTACGTCACGTCACGTCTGCAGTTCACTTGGTTTTTTTTTTACCGTACTGATCCCTTGTTGGCTTCTTAAAACTGTGTGCAGAGCCAAAAGTTCAAAATCACCAGATAGGCCTAGGGCCTACTAACAAAACTAAAGTTACAATGATGCAAACACTAATTTACATTATTTTACAGTCATGAGTCATCGTACTATTGAAGGGTTTTTGGGTCTAAATAAGATGATATGCTAGTATTTGTCTCATCCATTGTTGAAATGTTCAGAATGTCAAAATACTTATTATGATACCGTCAACTTTGTCATATTGCTTAAGTAAATTTAAATAGAACAGATGTGTTTTGTCATTTCCTCACTAATTAGCCTACACGTTTACATATCATTTTTGTATTATCATTTTAAACATATCATTTTCTACATATAATTTTGGTATTATCATTTTAAACATATCATTTTCGACATATAATTTTGGTATTATCATTTTGAACATATCATTTTAGACATATCATTTTGGACTATCATTTTCGACATATCATTTTCAACATTTCTCTTAGCAATATGCAAATGAGGTCAAAAGGAGTGGCTTCCAGAAAAAATGTTTTCACACAATGCAAAGTTTCCGTGGTAAATACCCTTAAGAATTTGCCACGCAGTGTAGTACTGTTGTAGACGTGTCGTCTCTTGTCACTCTTGAACATTATATGCAGAACATTATAGTATACTCACCTCTAGAGCAGAGCTTTACTGTTGTTTGTTTTTTGTTGTTGCTGAAAATGTATGACGATGAGCGGTTATTCCGAGTTATCTTTCCTTGGGAGGTATTAGCGTGTGTGGAAACTTTTTTTCTGGAAGCCACGCCTTTTGACCTCATTTGCATATTGCTAAGAGAAATGTTGAAAATGATATGTCGAAAATGATATGTCGAAAATGATAATACCAAAATGATATGTCGAAAATGATATGTTTAAAATGATAATACCAAAATGATCTGTAAACGAGTAGTTAGTGAGGAAATGACAAAACACCTTTGTTTTATCACAATTTACTAAAGCAATATGACAAAGTTGACGGTATCATAATTAATAAGTATTAGACAATTTAACAGAGCATCTTATTTTGACCCAAAAACCCTTCCATAATCGTACAAGTAATTTAATATGTAAGAAAAAACGTATCTTCGGTGTTGTTGAAAATACCAATAAAACGGGACCTATCTTTAAAAAAAAATTATATCTGGAGACAGGAATAGAGGTAGATGTTTCGGACTACGAAATAACCTTCACGTTAAAATAATAATACAAAAAAAAAACAAATTCTAAACACGATAACAAGTACTGTCAACACTTATTCCTATTTTGATCATGATTATGGATTGCAAGTAAGCATTATGACATCGATGATATGGAAAAAAGATAATTCAAAGCGACAATTTACCTGTGTATAGAGCAAAAAACCATTAAATTCCACGAAAAGGTTTATTGTTTTTGTACAGAAAAGATTGAATGAGCCTCCTAAGCAGAAGAGTAAATTTGTTATCTCCCTTTACTAACACAGTCAAACCAGATCACAGTTAATTTATCTTTTAACGTCAACACGGTTTTATTAAGCCGATGCCGTTAGTCACGGTTTATCTTTGAAATCGTTGGGTGTAAAAACTCCGAATTGACCTTAAAGAAAGGATGTAAAAAATCGAGACCAAAATTTCGTTGTGCATACAGAATGACAATGCTTTCACATGGGAGGACAGCCTATGTTGGACAGAATTCTATGTTAAAATTATGTTAGTGTATTAAACTTTCTACTGTGCTATTAGGCTATGGAGAAAACTTACTCTTCAACTGGACTAATTTTAAAAGAGGTCATCAGTATCACTCGCCGCATAAAATAACATAGCTTAGGCCTACTTCTAATCATACTAGCCTAACTGTCAACTTTTCTGATCGTTTGAATTCAATTTGCAAAGTTTTTTTTAAAAGAATGCATGATTTATTTCAGTATACCAATATTTCCAAATTTCATCTTATCAGTTAATACTTTAAGTCATGAGTGAGTTTAGCAGCTTAACCAACTAGCAGCTGCAATTGCTGCGCCCATCTCCCAGAGTACAGGGAATCAACCCCCTTCCTTTCTCTTTATTGTAACTTATTTATACAACCAAAAGTGATATTAGCAAATCATATCCATTCATAAAATGAACTTGAGTTTTTACGTTTTACTTTTTCTGCACATGATTGGGCTAATGAAGACGGAAAAAGTCAAGCAGTGTGGAACGAGGAAAATTGTGAGAAGATATTATATACTATATTCTTAATCATATGAAACCCAGTATCCAATTCTCACTGTTGAGGGTTCTTCATCCTATCAGTCTGTAGCACCGAGGGCCCCTGTTTATTATCCCCTTCGAAAGACTGTTCGAAAATTTTGAAGGTATTATTTCGACTTATGCCTCGATGAAACCTTGGATTTCAGGTTAGCAAGCAAAAGTCTAATTCATTGATGAGTCACCTCAAGTAACAGGTAACTACATAATAATTGATAGTGTAAGAAATCAAGAATTGAAATATAGTTTTTAATTGCTTTGATTTCAAAGGCAGCATTTAAAAGACAAGCATAATGTATCCGAATTCAAACAGCTTTTGTGTTTGGTTAAATCATTGAAATAATAATTCGCCCAAGCAAAATAATTCAACAAAATATCCCAAAGTATGACCAAATCGCGAGCATTAATCTATAGCAGTGGACTCGTCAAACGAAAAGTACCATGAGATGATTAAAAAAAGAGTAAGCATGGCCTGCTTCACGACCATCAAATCAAATATGTCGAAGTTTTGTGAAAAAACAGATGCAAACGGTAGTTGGCAAGCAATGTTAATGGTGTGATAGATGCATGTGAAAATACACAAATACAAGTTTTTCTTTACAAGAGTATCAACCCAGGTACTTGAAGATCTTCTTATCAACTTGCTGGTGCTTGGTCAATGAATGTATATTCATATCTAGAGACAGGTTGACTCGAATCAATTTATAAAAATCATCAGTATGTTAATGTCATTTCATACAACCAATAGCCATCATTTGTTTGAGGGATAACCATTAAAGTCAAGATTTCAAAACTCCTATTTTGAAACTTGAGATTTTACTAAAAGTGTATAGAGGAATTGCATTCTACACATCTGTATGAAATGTATGCCAATAATATTATATGACAATTATTTGTTTGAGGGAAAGCCAATGACGTCAAGATCCTGACGGAGCTTCAGTTTTTTCTCGGAATAAGCTTAAGATCGCAACAACTCTTTTTAAATTCAAATTAGAATCCATTTAGTATTATTTGTTTAATAGAAAGCAAAAGACGTCAAGATTCCAAAACGCAAACTAAGTAAGCAGCAGTCTGTCTAAAAAATTTCAAGATCAACTTACCAAAAATGGGCGGAGGGATCGCCCCACTTCTTCATCTGTTCCTCTTCATCTGTTCTTCATCTGTTCCTCTTCATCTGTTCCTCTTCATTCTTCATTTTCTTCATCTGTTCCTCTTCATCTGTTGGCGCGCGCCGCTTCATCTGTTCTTCGTCTGTGAATAGGAGGATCTGTAGAATCATACAGGCCATGACCCCAGAACACTCCTATTGTGGCAGTGCTATCGCGGGTAGGTAAATTTCCAAACGATTTACCCTTTCTAACCTAAAAATAGACACAAAAATATATATATATTTTTTTCAATATAGTATCGAACCTTCACGTTACAAACCTGTTACCAAAACAAACAACGAGTAGTTACCATTTTTTTATTGTCCGAACACCGAAACTGGCTTGTACTTATTCATCTAAATGCATTATGTTTCATAAAATACAACAAGTTGTTGTGAGCCTAAAAATCAGTAGCCGTTCAAGGACATGTGGTTGCCTTGCAATATACGCCCACTTTCGGCATAAATTTCCAGAGTAGGTCACCAATCTATGTCAAATTGTACCAAAATCTAACTTGTCAAAAATATTGTTGATTGAAACACAAAATTAAATTTCATAAAATTCTGAACCAAACTATCAACTTGACCAAGATCTCATTGAAATAGATGATCACATCAAATTTCATTAAAATCAGATTAAAACTGTAGTCTCTTTTGTGTTGATAAAAAAATTTTGACGCGTTTTTAGTAAGTCAAGGCCAATAACTCAAAAACCGTTCATCGAAAAATCAGAAATTTCGAACTTGAACAAGATCTCATTGTAATAGATGATCACACCAAATTTCATTAAAATTGGATAAGAACTGTAATCATTATCATGTTCGCAGGTCAATTGTGGACGGACCGACAGAGGCGACGACAATATATAACCACATTATAATGTGGGCGTATAAAAAGTCAGTAACTATTAAAGCTCTAAAAACCAGCAATTGTTATGAGCGACAAATGTTCAACAATTGATTGGTAGACAGACATGGTTGACATGGTTACAATTTCATATTCCCTTTGACACTAACAGAATCATTGAGAAAATATATTTTTTACACCAGGCCTCAAATATCTATGCTATAGGCTATATCATACATATAGATCAAGGCCTGTCATAATTTTCTTGGTCAAGGCCTAGTTCAGTAATCAACACAGTTAGGTGAATTGATCTACATAGCAATCTGTAGGCCTATGAATGGTCTCTTACTTTCTGTCAATCACCCTACGACAGTCCATAATCAAACCTAAGTAGTATCAGCAAGGTTTTATAATGTAAAAAATGCAATGAAGGATTGAAGGCCTAACCTAGACATAAGACAAGAGGCTGAGTTTAGTAAATAAGGGGTCTACAGTTTATTTAATGTAATATTTCATAGAAATGCATGTTAACAAGTTGGTTTTATAATTTACTGGCTGAAGAAGAGATGATTGCTAAGATCTTTGAATTTCAAGACTATTGTCATTCAAAAAACAATTTTTATAGATATATATATATACCGGTTTGAGATTTTGGATGAAAATTGTTCAACATTATACACAAAAGTCGTAGTTCAGAGTTGCCTAAAAAGTGCATTGCAATCATTCTTATCCTTGGCCAAACCTCATGAAATTGTTTTTTTTTTTGGATTATCCGTACCCATTTAGGATTGGATTGACTGGAATAATGAAGAAATATGACATACACAATTTCGCAGTGCTAAATTAGAAACCACAGGCAGCATTAATCTCAAAAGATTGACATAGTGTCAGCAGAAAGAGTTCGGGTTCTCTACATTATGTGCATCAAGTTAGCATCTCCTATTATCGAAATATGTTAGTCAAAAAAGGAATTGAAGGAGTATTACGTTTTTTCTTCTCAGAATCTGATTGGGCTAATGAGTACAGACAACGTCATGCAGTGTGCAATGAAGTTAATTTTGCCTGACATTAGTTTTATCCTACTTTGTTCGAAGTTCAATCGTCGAGATGCACAGTCCCTCACAGCCACCAAGACATTCATATTTTAACTACTGGACATTATGCATGACAGGCGTTTACAGAATTATTAAAATATAATAATTTGAAACTTACTTTCAGAGCTTCCATGCCACACCATGAGCACTTTATTCCTATATATTGAAGCTCTATCTGTATACACCTAAAATCAAAATAAATACTGTATTTGCATGTATGATATACAGTTTTCACCCTATAAAAATTTGGACGACTTGGGTGTGAGCGTTATGCCCATTAAATTTGAGGGGATTTTTCACAAGAGGTTTTCCAATAAATATTGACAGTCCGTAATTAGACATTTTGTTTCATTTATTTCTGTGGGCAACTTTACTCATTCAAAGACCTCTTAACATATTGACCGTATTATTGCATGGATAGTGCACATTTTTTTATCAGTTGATTAGTTGATTTCTACCTAGTTTTGACAGAGCCGAGTCAGAAAAATTAGGATGTTTTCACATAGCCATTTTCAAGATAAGTTTTCATCTGAAACCAATCAAGAACTGATCCCCATTCTTGGCATTTCATTGTCTATGTTTCAAATAGCGTAACAAATAATTCTAAGCCCCTGCGATAGAGGGAAAATTTCTCCCGTAACAAACTTTCCTGATTACGCCAACTGACCAGGCTCATCTTGATTAAATAAAGGTGAATGAGCTTCTCATATCTAACCCTTGATCCTTCAAGTTAGCATTCCCATCAATGATTTAATTTAAATCAATCAGATTCATCAGATTGGCTCAAAGGGTTATATATAAAGTGATCTCGCACACCTTTTCTCTAGGTAGAAGTCAACAAGTTTCTGATTATTATGAAATGAAAATGGCCCATAACTAACCTCCATTTGTTCCAAGAGAGGATGGTGGACATGATATGGCAGCTTTGCTGAGTACAACCTAGGTGGCCCTAACAAGGTAGCCCACAGGCTACCACAACTAAACTACACGCGAGCCCAACCCGAAAACGCGAAAATTTTGCTCCATGTGAACTACCTCCAAAAACCTAGGTTGCACACCATATCTGACGTTGTTGTCCATAGCTGAAGACAAGCTATTATACTTGGACCCTGAAAATGACAGTAAAAGATAATAATGATGAATAATGACAGTTAACTCTTTTTATAGACACAGCTTTATGGAACAAAAATCACTTGTTAACCATAAAGCTGTGTCTGTATATCGTACTCACAATTGCTTTATGTCATTTAAAGACTTTAATTAACTCTTTATAAATGGTATTATTCAATATGGATCAGTGTTTATCCCATTACATTAAAGTGACATGGTCCATATTTCTTTTAATAGCATTATTCACTTCTTTGGTAAATCAAAATGGTAGTTTTCCAGGTAGGAAAATACACGCATATATATTCGTAACCTAATAATGTGCAAACATAACATACCAACCTTAATAGGGATGGTATCCCAACCATGGTGTATCAACCCAATAGTAAAAACCGCTATTGAGCCCCTGACCTGAAAAGATAAGACAAAACCATTAAAATTTAATTTTTATCGATGTGTTCATGAGAAAGACAACGGCGTAGATGTGTAAAATAATAATATTATATTAAATAGTTAATTATCGTTTTTGAAAATATCTAAGCAAGGTAATGTCATTGTGATTACATTTTAACTTAAAAGTGGCACCCCTTTATGGAAGAACAATCACTGGGTAAAATTTAAAGGAACTGTCTACATGTTTCCCCCGATAGTTATTAGGAACATAAAAAAAAAACTTTTAATATATACATATTTAGTGAATTATTTTGAAGAAAAACAACAGTTAAAGTGGCTTAGTATTGCATTACATTATTGTCTAAAAGATACATTAAGGTACATCATTTTTAAAGTGATACTACGTCTTAGAATGAAAATTAAATTTAAGAATTTTAAACTTGGCCATTAAGAGCATATATTCATCTGTAGATATACCTGGTGTCATAAATAACATAACAGGATCCTTATATAATCCGATAAATCCCCAAAAATTAGTAATTATCCATAAATATGCAATTGACTATTGAAAATCGCATTTAATTAATTACTTAGTTTTATGAATTTTCCAATTTTCCAGATTTTACAGGGATTCTGTTTTACCTTTATGACACCAGGTAAGTTCATTGATGAATTATATACTCATTTTGACCATTCTTGAGAACTTAAATTTTATGTTCATTCTAAGAATAAGCCATGGGGGTTGGGACCTCACTGTCTCCTTTGTATAAGAAGTATAAAAGTAATTTGAGAAAGAGAGTCCCCTTTCCCCTTTTCCCAGATGCCATAGAATTCTGTCTTTTCCATTCAAATTCCTTATTTTGATTTCCAAGCCCAGCTTTGCCTAATATTCCCGTTTTTCAAAAAAAAAAAAAAAACAACATTACAATGGATTTTTAGGAAGTCATACTTGTAACATAAATATTTTCTTTCTTATGACAGTTGTAAACGTCAACTTTGTGGAAAATGGGAGGGTGGGACATTTACTGAAATAGAATCGAATTAAATATTCAAAAATTTAGATGATTTGAAAAAGTCGACTTACCGGTTGCTATAAACAAAGCAGACTGACTGAGTGAGTAATCATTGCGCTCATTGTTACGAATACAATCTTTTGTCTTGATTACAATTCACTAAACCTTATTAACCCTACAATAACCCGAAACGTGCTGTTCCTTACTTGTCTCTGATAAGGGCAATAGTATAGACACACTTTCAAAAAAGAATTAAAAACAAATTAATAAATTATTATCATTATCATGCATATAGGCATGACAAGAAATGACAAATACCTAATTTTGCCAAATAATCCACTTTAGCTCATTTCCTACTAATTAGAAAAGGATAGAAAATAAAAAAAAATTCAAACCAGCTATGGAAGACTGCACAATGATAAACAAGTGCTTAAATGCAAATAAATTTGTTTCCTAAATAGTTACAAAGCTGCAAAGTTGAATATCCACATGGACAGTATTGACATGTCAGAAAAAAGACCTCAAAAATCTGCCATAGAACAGAAAATTATCTTTCCTACTAATTAGACCCCAAAGACTTAAAAAAACTCAAGAAACAAAAGTAAAATCAGTCAGTTTTCAAACTAGCTATTTGCAGTCTGCATATTGGTGCACAAGAAATGCTCAAACACAAATAACTTTTTTGCGTGAAAAGTTACCAATCTACAAAGCTGAAACTTGCAGGCAATATCCACATGGACTATCTGGGCATGTCAGAAAAAAACTCAAAATCTGCCATAGAACAAAAAATAATTTTTTGACATTCATGCATATTGGCCATTGTGGCAAATATGGGCAAAAGTCAACTTTTTCAAATACACCAATTTGGCTCCAGTTTTGCTCTTTTCTGACTTATTTGAACGCAAGAATGGCGCACAAGAAGTGCTCAAATCTAAATAAATTTTTTGCTTGAAAAGTTACAAAGCTAGAAATCCGAAACTTGCAGGAAATATCCACATCCGGACAAGTCGGAAAAAACAGAGCTCAAATATCTGCCACAGAAAAGAAAATAATTTTCCGGTTTTTCTTGGACAAAACTAAAAATTCATCATCCTATCTCAACTGGTTTGACCGTGGTGAAGCTGCAAAATTTGGATTTTCAAAAATGTCAAAATTGGCCAATTTCAACAGGTAGCTACCTGTGGTACCAAAATCCATTTTTGGGTCGAATTTTTTTGGTCTCGGAAATCGATGTAACCCGGTTTTTTGGACTCGGTGCTTCTCTAGCTCTCCCCCAATGTGCATAAAAGTGAATTCTGAGCACTTTTTTTTTTTGCGGAAAAGTGCCAAAAAATCCGGTTTTTCATGAACAAAACTAAAACGCTCAGTGCTTCCAAAGTAAGGCAGATATGGAATCGCGGTTTGTGGCATTGCAAAGCTAAGATTTCAAACTAGTACCTGTGAAAATTTCATCATCCTATCTCAACTGGTTTGACCGTGGTGAAGCTGCAAAATTTGGATTTTCAAAAATGTCAAAATTGGCCAATTTCAACAGGTAGCTACCTGTGGTACCAAAATCCATTTTTGGGTCGAATTTTTTTGGTCTCGGAAATCGATGTAACCCGGTTTTTTGGACTCGGTGCTTCTCTAGCTCTCCCCCAATGTGCATAAAAGTGAATTCTGAGCACTTTTTTTTTTTGCGGAAAAGTGCCACAAAATCCGGTTTTTCATGAATACAACTAAAACGCTCAGTGCTTCCAAAGTAAGGCAGATATGGAATCGCGGTTTGTGGCATTGCAAAGCTAAGATTTCAAACTAGTACCTGTGAAAATTTCATCATCCTATCTCAACTGGTTTGACCGTGGTGAAGCTGCAAAATTTGGATTTTCAAAGATGTCAAAATTGGCCAATTTCAACAGGTAGCTACATGTGGTACCAAAATCCATTTTTGGGTCGAATTTTTTTGGTCTCGGAAATCGATGTAACCCGGTCTTTTTTGGACTCGGTGCTTCTCTAGCTCTCCCCCAATGTGCATAAAAGTGAATTCTGAGCACTTTTTTTTTTTGCGGAAAAGTGCCAAAAAATCCGGTTTTTCATGAACAAAACTAAAACGCTCAGTGCTTCCAAAGTAAGGCAGATATGGAATCGCACTTTGTGGCATTGCAAAGCTAAGATTTCAAACTAGTACCTGTGAAAATTTCATCATCCTATCTCAACTGGTTTG